TTATTTCGATCTGTTTCAAAATTATATTATACTAGCTGACCCGGCAGACTCCGTAGTGCATCAATCCATAAATAGAAGACCTAAACTTTTGTATAAAATAAACTTAAAACAAACAAAAGGAATCCGTCCGACGAGAGACACATCAAAGGGAAAATAAAAACCGTTTGTTTTTATATAATTCCGAGCATTTTCATATTTTTTGACCTTTTAAACCTTCTCTGGACTTCCACGAATAATTCAAGACCAAAATTAGCCAAATCGGTCCAGCCGTTCTCGAGTTTTAACGAGACTAACGAACAGCAATTCATTTTTATATATATAGAAGAAGAAGATAGAAGATAGCCTGCTAATGCTATTACAACCTTTAATTTCACGATTTTTGGTACACTGCTTTTTATAGGCATTATGGGCTCTGAAATTGACTAAATGCGAAGGAGTAATACTGAACAAAAAGATGGTGAAATGTTTAAGTTCGATGTCTGTGTTGCTTTATTTATTTAATGAATTTGCTTTTCTATTTATTTCTATTCACGCCATGATTTCAATGGCCTCCGGTAACTAATTAACACCTGTAGATCCGTGAACAACCAACAATGAATAAAATACCCTAAGTAGTATTTTTTATTAAGTTATTACCACAATTGTTTGGTCATCTGTATACCCAGTACAAAAGTAATCTAAAAATTTTACTTATCGAAAATTCTAGAAATTTATTTTTCGAATGTCCACGCGACCCATTTTCAGGTTCAGATAATTTAAATATATTTCTTATTAATTTTCTTTATAAAGTACGTACCGGGAGCCAATGATAACACAGAGTGAATTCCCTAAACGATTGTCCTGCCCAAGCAGATTTTCTTTCCAACCTAAGTTGATGGTCTTGAGAGACCATTTCAGCGTAGCCTTAATTGATAGGTGAGCTCACAGGGCTCAAGCCTGACGACGTTGCTAGCACTAACCCTAGCAAGAGCAGTGCTTCGCAGAATCTACCATCGGATCGGAAACGCGACCCACTGAGAAGATCCGGCGAGAAACTCAGTGGGCTGTCTCTGTGTGTTAATTTACTCGCCGAGGCCTTCGTCGCAAGCGACGGGTCCAACGAGAACGATAGCTGCCCAAACAGAGATGAGCGATAATTACTACAGAAATATTTGCAACACATCTCATAACAGTAAAACAACACTATGTCCCCTACAATGTGATCAGTGCAGTGATACCAAGAGCAGCGTAGGCAAAAAAATCTCCATGACAACCAAGAGCTATTTAAATAAACAAGTACACGCCATGCACCAGTCATTTGAAGGGAATCCGAGGGTGGGCAGTATTTATAGTGTACGGAGACGGTACAGACTTAAATATTTATTGCGGCTGGTCGCAGATTTACAAGCAGTGACTAGTTAGACTTGGTATCCGGTGGCTTTCGCGTGTAAAAATAATCGCACGAGCATAGCTTTTAAATATTATTGGAATTCAATTTATTGTTTTCAAACAGAACGAGATTCGACTATAAAACAATTTGTACATTTAATTACGTGAATTTGAAATGTACATTTTTGAGTGGTCCTTGGGCACCACAACGTACCGGCTGCGTCTTATCATGTGAATATGTCATACTGGAAGCTATGGTCTAACTAAAGAATAAAACTTTTAATTTCAACAATAACTTTTATAACTAAAGAATAAAGCAATTTTGACGGTACCAGTGTAGAAAACCCGAAGGTACCAATCTCTCTAAGAAGATACTAACTTATTAAACATATACTCATTAATGACTTCCACGTTGAAGAATTAACATCTTGTAATAAGAATCAAACCTACAAAAATTACAATTTGCGTAATGGCTGATAATAAGGCGTTTTATGACCCAGCAAGAATAGGTAGCACCGCCGTGCCTATTTCTAGCGTGAAGCACTAATGCGTTTCGGTTTGAAGGACAGGGCAACCGTTGTACTGAGCTGAGGCTCATGAGAACTCATGTCAGGACGTGGCAATTTACGTTTTTGATGACTATAGGTTTCGGTAACCGCTTAACAGCGTGTAGGCCATAAGTTCATCCACCCAACTAAACAACAAAACATAAGGCTGAAGATGCAATCATACTGTTAACAGGGAAATATAAAGAACTATCTTTTGCCCGCGAATTCATCCGCGTAGAATAGTTCACAAATAATGCTTTATTTTAGAACAAATTTGGTTAGCATAAAAACGTTATAGTGAGCCCAACATAACATATAGACATATGCTGTCGCGGACTTTTTTTTAGATCTTTTAAAAGGGAACAATTCTCTCATACATTACTTTAGCGAAACTTTAACCGTTTCTGCAGCGCACGTAGTGGAAGTTCTCAAAAGGGATTAAAACCCCGGCACGGAAACGAAAGAATTTTTCAAATCGGACCAGTAGTTCCTGAGATTAACGCGTTCAAACAAACAAACTCTTCAGCTTTATAATAATATTAGTATAGATAAACATTTAGCAACAAAAATAATTCAGAACGATATTACAGGAGAACGCTGTAATTTGGAATGTTTTTGACACAAAAGCAAACTACTAAATTACAAACACACACTCAGACGTGAACTATTCTAAAATAATGAGCGACAAGACTACGCTGAGCAAAGACATCCGACTAATGAATTTCTCTTATAGAAACAGTTTTTCTATTTAACGAATTCTTGCGAAAGCATTGTTTTAGACAACGATTGTTCACGTGTACCAAAATATCCACGACGCACACACAGACATAAAGATGCACACGCATGCACGCGCGGCTCGGAGAAGCTCTATCGAAAACACACACAGTTTTATTATTAACTAGATGTGACCCGTGGTTCCACTTGCCTTTTTTTATTTTACCTTGTAGGCAGACGAACTTACGGCTCACCTGATGGTGAGTGGTTAACGTCGCCCATGGACTTCAGCAATGCCAGGAGCAGAGCCAAGCCCCCTTTTTTTTCGGACCGAGGGCAAACCTCCTACGAGGTCCCCGCGCCTAAGGGGCGATCGGGGTATGTGGGACTCGACAATCTGCAAGGTGTTGGGAGCAGTCCGCGGGCCCAAGGAATTTTAGGGCCCTACCCACTAAACGACTCTCCTGCACTCTTCGCCCAAGCGTCCGATCCCCTCCGAGGTCAGAACCCGGATGAGGTAGGGGGATTACCGCGGTCAACACTGCAACCAGTTGGCTCTGCCTACCTTGCCTTACATTTGGAATTCATGAGATGATGACTAATGGGTTTGACTTTGGTTCAGATAGCTCGACTTTGGTATGCCGAACACGAACGCCACTTATACAAATATATCAAAATCGTGCAAACTGGACTGAATTTATAATTTCCAATTTTCTACGTTCAATAATCCGTTCAGAGTTTTCTAAACAGTAACTTATAAATTAATTAATTAATAACTGACCCGACAGACGTCTTGTGCAAATTCCGAGTAAATTTATTTACACGATTGTTCCAGATAAGATTCGCATTTTTAATTTTCATGCAAATCTTAACCCCACATTGAAAAAATTATACACGTAGGTCCGATCTCAAACACATATTGAAGTTTTATTTAAATAGATAAAATATCGTTAATATACAGACACACATCTTTTACAATTTTATAATAATATACATTAGTCAATTCGTTTCACTGTTCTAATTTTCTATTGACGAGCGTTTCTAAACTTGTTTTTTTTATTTATGGAATCATTGTTTTGACTACAGCTACGGGAATAGATCGATCGTTATTCTTTTGTTTTTTACTTAAGTTTTCTTCGAGATTACCAAATTTGATTAATGTTACTTTGCGTCATTAACAAGACGCAAGACAGGGTAAATTGCGTCATTAACAGGCGCAAGACAGGGTAAAGTGGAGACAACTTGTGAGGGCCCTATGCACCAGCGGGGTACCCTAGGACTACAACAACAACAACAAGCGTCATTAACTAGTCCCTCTGGTACGCTGTAAAGTATAATCGAATTGATATACCTACAACCACATTACGGTTGGTTTTGCCGGAAAAACAGAATTATAAAGTAGAATTAGTAGGAGCTCGCCTGATTACAATGACAGGAGCCTATGTTTCAACATGATAGCGCCACGTGAATGACTGCAAATGACACTGCTGAGCTTAAGACAACATTAGTATCAGTTGTATGTTCAGTATGTGGTCTCTTGTCCGGCTGCGGCATTTGGACACTTAATTTAAAAAAACAATATATCATATTATAATACAACAAGCAGCCCGTTCCGGCTCCGCTCGGGTCTTTAACAAAAATTCAACGATATTTGACTGTGTTTTATATTTTTAAATAAAAGAACACTTATTGCGGCTTAACTACAATAGTTAGACATATGTTATCGCGTTACACTTTTTGTAAATAATAATGTGTTCTACAAAGTTGTAGTACATTTTATTTATTCTATCATCAATCGTTTTCGCAGGGCAGGCGATGTAAAGAATAGAGAAGATAGAATTTTTTACACCTTGGGTTACATTATTGGAGTTTTAATAAGGATCCCTTTAATATTAGTATAGATTACCCGAATGCGTCGCACCTATAACAAACTGGCAAAGTCGTCAACTGAATTAGATATTTTTACTTGTAGGTTAGTGACGTTTATAAAAATGTTCAAGGGCATCCTCAACGTTAATAATAGGCTAAGTAGCGTAATGTTTTAATTCATATTGTGAATAAAATTATTTATAAGTTAGATTAGTTTTCGTTATCGTGTTGTTTTCTCGTACAGTTGTAAGTAACATTGTGTACAAATTCAGCACTTTGTCTTGTTTAGTTGTGCGCACATAGCTTATGTTGCAAGCCAGATTTTGTTTATTTTTACTTGTGTTTTTATGTATATTTTTAGCTTGTGATGTGTATTGTGTGCCTAATAAATAAATAAAAATAAATATCGACATACACGTATTCATGGAATACTATAATATAAAAACACAGAAAAAATAATTTTGGGACATAAAAATCCGGTACTCAAAGAAATGACCTTACCTCTTTCTCCTGCTTGTCCCCTTGTATCCTGTCTCGGAGTGCGACCAGCTCCAAGGGCCAGCTCGACACCTCCGCGTCAGGATCAGACAGGAGTACCTGCGACATATCACAAAATAAGTCAAACACGTACAGAAGGCTCGTTCCATGTTACATTATTTATCATTTGAGGATATCCTCAAATATTCCTCCTTTTTAATACGCTTTTATTAGCTTCAGACGTATGTATGTATGTTTGTAACGGAATCTTTGAACATGATTTTGACCCCTTCAAAACGTCGGATTAACTCGAAATTTGGTATTGGTACTCATTAAGGACCGATGACAATTCAAAATTGAAAAAAAAATTGATTTTTTTTTAAATTCAACAAAAAAATTAATAATAAATAATATTTAAAAAAAAACTTGGATTTGGATTTTCTATAAAAGCGTATTTTATTAGCTTTTTTAAACTATTATTAATTTTTGATTTTTAATATTATTCATAGTAGAGAAAGCCTCTTACACATAAACCTCGTAAAACCCAATCCATTTACAACGCAAATAAATTTCTGAGAAACTGCCAACCATGGACTAGAAAGTCCAAAACCCGCATTCGTACTTAATTGTAATTCTTACGTGATTGGTTCAAACAATCGGTCCAATATAGGATAGTACGTGCGTTAAGAAACGTGCGAGCTGTCGATAATGGATGACCATCAGTGGGATAAGCTTACAGTTGGTTGTCCAGCATGAGATCCCAAACGCAACCTTCACCCATGCCATTAGCACTAAATTGTTCACCAGCCGCCAAATTTTTTTAATAATAATATAAAATTAAAATAATAAGATAAATAAAGATAAAATAAAATAATATGTAATATAATTTTTATTGCTTAAATGGGTGGACGAGCTCACAGCCCACCTGGAGTTAAGTGGTTACTGGAGCCCATAGACATCTACAACGTAAATGCGCCACCCACCTTGAGTTATAAGTTCTAAGGTCTCAAATATAGTTACAACGACTGTCCCGCCTTTCAAACCGAAACGCATTACTACTTCACGGCAGAAATAGGCAGGGTGGTAGTACATACCCGCGCGGACTCACAAGCGTCCTACCACTAGTAGAAGAGCAGAGCACAAATCCAAAAGGATTTTAAACAAGTAAACCCTTTTAAATAGTCAGAATTTTAGCACTCCGGAGGGCTTGGAAACACAATTCATATCACATATGTATAAAGGTTTCTTAACATCAAAACATATCGTACCAAGGCAAATACATTTTTTCATTAGAAATAGTTTTACTTGCATTAAGTAAAATTATCAACTTACATATAAATCGACCGTATTCATTGGACCACCACAGAAACACACAATCTCGATAAATCACTATAAAAAAATTCACAAAACTGATATCTATTTAACTTCGAATAGAACATGATCCATCTGTGACACATTCAGTACTGTTGTTATATCGCACAAGAAGCACTGTTGACCCCATCGTTATCGGCTATTATTTATAAACTAATTACATAAATAAACAAGTTACGGACAATGGAAACAGATAAATCATTAACAAATGGCTTGTTATTTTTATTTCACTCAGTCCAAAGAGAAATTCGCAGTCGACTGACGGACACCAATATGGGGACCTTGAATATATAAAGCATCAATCATTATTTTTGTGTAGTATTGATAATGTCTGTAAGTAAATAAGTCAGTAAATTTCATATAGCATACAATGAAATTGAAGTGTATACACATATAACCGGAACACGAGTGCGATTGTTTTAATGATAATAAAACAGACAAGATAGCGATGCATCGGTGTTCGAGTCCCGCAGGCGGTTACCAATTTTACTAATTATGCACATACTTAACAAACGTTCTAGATTGACTTCCACGGTGAAGGAATAACATCGTGTAATAAAAATCAAACCCGCAAATATAAATTTGCGTAATTACTGGTGGTAGGACCTTGAGTCCGCAAGGGTAGGTGCCACAGCCCTGCCTATTTCTGCCGTGAAGCAGTAATGCATTTCGGTTTGAAAGGCGGGAAAGCCGTTGTAACTATACTTGAGCTCTATCTCAAGGTAGGCAGCGGAATTTACATTGAAGATGTCTTTGGGCTCCGATAACCACTTAACACTAGGTTTTTTTTTTAAAAAAAAGTTATGTGTAAAGCTTAAAGTTATTACAATAGATAAATGACTAGGCTCGTATTGAAAATCTGACTATTGAAGTGAGTACACGCGTGTTATCACTGGATCACCGACATAATAATAATTTGTCCTAATTAGTTCCTAATGAACTTACTGGAACCTTCATTACTTTAATTGCAAATTTTTCCAATGAAAGATTTTTACTATTAATATTTAAATCTGTTTATGCTATTCGGTAATCGGTGTCACTTAGATAACTATGGGATACTTATCTTGAACAATAAATAACATGGAACAAAAATACCTACATAGTTAATTTTGCTTCAGAAAAATGAGTGCTATAGGTACAGTGCACTGGTGCCAACCAGAAAAAATAGATTGATAATTTTTGAGCCCATTGTTCACACACGCCACGTCCTCACAACGGATTAAGTTGAGCAAATGCTCTCGTACCTAGTTTTTCAAAATCCACCTAATTGATATGACACCACTACTGCGCTGGCGCTACGACCCCTTTTTGATTTGGGGGTTGATGCTTCCCGCTTCCGTAGGTTTAATACGTGATACCCTACAAGTGACCCCTGGGTGGTGCTAAACGGGAGCCGATCACACAACCGGTGGTAGGACCTAGTCCGACTGGCTGGTGACTACTCTCCAACTAGAATCCGCCACCAAATAGCCTAGCTGTGTTCTGGCGTATGTGTTGGAGAGCCAGTTCTATTCCTTTCCTTTCCTCCTCCTTGTCGGAGGTGAGTCTTGGTGATACTTGGAACATGCAGAGCAAACGTGCTCCCATGTCCGCAGGACGTGGGTTGCTGACGGGGATACAAGGAGGGTCGGTAGGGAAGGTTCCCTACCGACCCTACCGAAGGGGCGGAGTTTAGTAGTGACCCCCGGGTTCAGGTGAACCCGGGGGTCACTACTAAACTCCGCCCCGGGAAGCTGTCCTGCCAACGGGGGTAAAATCCTATCATGCGGCCCTCGTGCCGGAGTCGAAGGCAGGAGTGGATCCCAGCGATCGTATGCAAGGTGGATTTATTCAGATATTGCATTGATCTCATCGCAGCGCAACACCTTGCCAGTCCGGCACTTAGAGTTCATGTAGATCCCCTTCCACAGCGTCAGACCAGCGGTACTTAGGCCTCCCTACAGAGCGGGGTCCCTCCAGTACACCTGAATCTCCAATAGATATAATAGACCACAATTTTCTATCTGTGACCAAAACAGCAAAACTTCTCGTAAAAGTTTACCTACCACCGAAAGTTAAATCAGGATTGGTTGCTATAAAATAAAATAAAAATCGCGTCAAGGATTGTGTAAAGAACAAATTTATGTGACATTGAAAAACGTCTTTATATCTATTTATTCACAGACAGACTACATTAAAAATAACACGCCTTCGAGCTGTCTTCTATAAACTTACCTACTTTTATCAACCGAAATAGTTTTGAGTCAGTTCTAAAAATGTAATTGTCATGACATGACGGGCGAAGCGTTTCTCGGAATTCTGACATATTCATCAGGGTTTGTAGCCGATCAAGAGTTTTTAGGATTTTAGAGTTCAAAGTTGAAACGAGTTTCTTATTAATAAGCTTTTATTAGCTTCATACGTATATATGTTAGTATGTATGTATGTTCACTCTTTTTTACAATAAAGTCATTTTTTTCTTACACTATATTTAATTCAAATTTATTAAAATTTCTTTTCTATTTTTTATTGGATTTATTATTTTTAATAAATTTTAATTAAAAATAGTGTGTAAAAATAGTAATAAAATAAAAATAGTGAGCAAATTGGAATTAAAAATAATATAATTATTCACACCCTACTTTTATTTTCTACGATATGTCTGTCGCAGGCAATTTGTATGATTCCGCCGTTTACAAACGGCGTCGTCATTTTAAAAACGCTCGCCAGTATGTAAAATGCCGAAGGCAAAATGATAACTCGTTCAATTCTTATAATTTCGACATTGGTTGTAGTTTTAGGGTGACCATAATAAAATGTAGTTTATAATAATTATCAGCCTTTATTTCCGCAATCAAGTACTAATGAAGATTTCAAGTAAGACTAAATTATGTGCTTTGTTCTCTTGAAGTACTGGCCTAGTTAAAATATTTAAATAACAAAACAAAATTTAAATGACAATAATAAAACTTATATGGATAATATGACACTTTCAAATAAAAACAAACAGGTCATTTATGTAAAATCATCATATTTTGTAGTCTGAAGTATTCATCATTCTTAGAAGACATTTCCCTAAATTAGTAAATGAAGATTATTTAAAAAATTAACGTTTCTTGATTTATTTTTAAATAAAAAGGAACAAAAGTAACAATAAAAATGTATATTACTTATTTGCGCATGTCCCATTTCATGACTAAAAAACACCAAGGCATTATAATATTTAAGTTACAAAGCAGATAAATTGACATAACGATACGAATAAATCGATCGCTTTTCTCTCAATAATAATCGTTCATTCAATCTATCAGGATACTGAATTTTGTCTCGACCACCATGTCCGTAACCTCTATGAATCTCTAACAATACATCGTAATATTCTTCTAACGGTATTACACGAACGGTTGGACTGCCAAGGCTATTCCTTTTTAAATAAGGCAGTCCAATTTACTGATGCTCATAACCTCGTATTTTTTTGACCTGCAGGAGTCCTCCGGGAACCAGATTCTGTGGCCACCTTAGCCTTTTTTAGGTGCCGGATAACCTCAAAAATTTTACTATTTGTCCAAAGCTTTTTTACAGCTTCCGTTTGAGAATTGTATATTTTTTTTAATTCACTATAATATAAAGCTTTAAAATCTTCTAAAATGTCTTCTCCACACGAAATATTTGCAGTTTTCAGTTATTTTTTGAGACACAAAATGACGCCATTGTTATTGTTTTGATCAACAGTGGCGCGCGTGGTAAAAAAATGAACTAAATACTTCAAT